TTACAGTTAGTACCTTACACGTCTTATACAGAACTTTAGTGGGGTAATAATAATAATAATAATAATAATTTGTTTATTTTCTCCCACAATAAATTTAAAGTAATGGAACAGAGCGTACATATTAAACATTGTGAGAGACAGGAGCCTAAACTAGGTAAGACCTGTATCTTAGGCCTCCTGGTCTCCACCTCTTGGTTGAACAATTCTGTACCTAAAATTTCCAATATACATGGTAAGGGATTAGTTTAACAAATTTATAGAATATAGAAGAAAATATAATCTAATAGAGTGTGGTTGCGTGTGTGTATGTGTTTGCGTTTATGTATGTGTGTGTGTGAGGAGTGCATGTGAGTGTGTGTGTTGTATGTATTTAGTGTGGGTGTGTATGTGGTGTGTAAGTGTGCATGTGTGTGAGTAAATGCGTGGGATGAATGGATGTGCGTACTTGAGGCCTTTATCGCTTGTTACGACATGGTTAAAAGTTTTTCAGTTTCGTCGTAAGTTTTAGTAACTAACCAAGTAACAACTGTATCTTTACATTTATATTTTACCATACTGTATATATTAAGACTTTTGTTTAAAAGGTTGTACAGTCTAGGTCCCTGATGGCAAAAGAATCTATGTGCAAAGGATGTCTTAAATAGTTTTGGGTCGCATATAATGCCTCCTCCTATGTGCGTTTGGATGATGAGCATTAAATATGATCTTCCCATGTTGTCTTAGCACCGTGGCAAGAACATATATTTGTCTGACCGAGAGTAACTTTGTGTCGCGGTATAAGCTAATCGTGGAGTATAGACGTGGTTTAGAAAGGCTAACTTTTAGGATTAGCCTTTGTACTCTCTCCAATTGCAACATATGGGTTTTTGCCGCACCTCCCCATGAGGAAATACCATACGATAGGATCGATTGACATAGCGATAGATAAACAGATTTAAACAATTTAAAATCCAACACATGTCTTAGTTTTTTAAAGATGTATATGAGTTTACGGACTCTTTGAGTGAGGCTTGTGATGTGTTCTTTGAAGGAGAGGAGGTAATCAATAGTGATACCTAAGTATTTAATATTTAGGGTTTTTTCAATGAACGCGCAGGTACAAATGGTGGAGCTCCAATTAGAGCAAGAATGTGCCAGAAGAAACATAAAAAATCTGGAAATAAACACATGTTTTGATGATACAATTTTGGGGCAGACAATATCTTTCCGTCTTTTGTTAGTATTTTCAGCACTATGTGAGTGCAATGTGTTGTTTGAGAACTGTGGACTTAATAAATAATTGCCTTACAGTTAGTACCTTACACGTCTTATACAGAACTTTAGTGGGGTAAAGGAAAGGGCGGAAGGTAGAACCTTTAGAATCGCTCGCTGGGCTCTCTCAATTGTTAGTAATGAAGTTTTAGCAATACCACCCCAAGATGCAATATGTAATAATTGATTGACATATGGCATAATAAACGTGCCTGATTATTTTAAAATCAGCAAAAGTGCGTAGTTTTTTAAACACATACATTAGCTTACGGATTCGACCGCTTAGTGCTTCGATATGGTGCTTAAACGAGAGGTTATCATCAACACCTAACTACTTTACCTTGTTAGTAATAGCAATATCTAGACGCTTGCACAGGTTGTTAGTAGTCTCCTTACAATGGTGAGCATAAAGTTGTGTGTTAGTTATAAGACTTTGGTTTTCGCATATAGAACTGCATGAAACTAGTTTTATCTGTGTCTAGTGTTAATAAATGCTGCTGGAGCCAGTTATTTACGACATTGCATCCTCGCTGAGCATACTCATAGACTTCCTTATCAGAGTTAGCAGAAAAAAGCAGAGCAGTATCATCGGCATAGGATATGATCTTCCCAGCATCTAATTCTAGATTACAAAGGTCATTAATGTAGATCAGAAACAGAGTAGGGCCTAAAATACCTCCTTGGGGAATTCCAAATGCAGTACTCTTGAGATCAGAACTGAAAACGTTACCTATTTTGACACATTGGGAGCGGTTCTCCAGATAATCTGCAAGTTATTTTAGCTGTATACCTCTTATACTTAGGGATTCAAGTTTCTGCAATAGGTTGGGTATATAAATTGTATCAAAAGCTTTTGCTAGGTCCAAAAATATCCTCACTGTTTTGTTACCCTTGTCAAGTTCCCTTGCTAAAAAATCCGTAAGGTGATGCACAGCGTCAGATGTTGATAATTTGGATCTAAAACCGAACTGTGTTTTAGATAACATGGATTGTTTCTCCAAAGACAACACAAGTCTATTATTTATAAGTTTTTCTAATATTTTAGATATTGCTGGCAGTAACGAAATAGGTCTATAATTCGTTATTTGATCTTTGTTACCAGATTTATATACCAGGAC